AGTCACCTCATCAGCCCAGCTGTGAAACAAGGAGTGGAATGCAGGTCTGACAACATGTGATATGACTTGGACTGTTTCTGAGGCACTAAGAGGAGCTGTACAGGTGGACATGCGAATAGAGATATTTCAAAATACACTCATTGCTTGAAACACCTAAGTGTCATTTTCGTTTCTGCTGTTTTTATACTGGCTACCTGCACTGCGCAAGGGATCACCTTTCCTACAGAAAAAGAACACAACAGATGCTGAAACATTTCCTTATTTAACTTCTGTCAAACTAGCAGGTTTCCAGCACCACCCATGAACTAATTTCATCTCAAAGTGACTGCCATCTGGTACCCAAATATGAACTCATCAGCAGCTGTGTAAGGAAAACCACACTCCAAAAAGGAAGCTATTTTTCAAAGCCTAGACAAACCTATCTGTGGGCAAGAATCCAAAGCAGTTAGAAGCAACGATAGCGTTATCTGAGCGAGCATGAGTGCAACTGGAATGAAGGCCACACATGTATGCTGAGGCACACAAGAAACGCTGCGCTAGCAAAAAGCACTCAGCCTATGTAAATCTGTAATTGTCTCAAACAGGGGCAAAGAAATTAGGTTGCAATGTTTAAGTCAAAAAGCACTAAGGTGAAAAGCCTTTTTCTTTTTGAAATATACATGGAAAGATGTGTCCTAGATGAATTATTTTGTTTACAAGAAAATTCGCCACTCTTCTTACTGAGAAAGCATATTTTGAATTTTTTTTTTCTCTAAACCTTGGATTCAACATCTGCCACTTGGTTAAAGAAGGTACAAATCCTGCTTCCTTGGCTTTGTGCCTAAATCCACAGTAAGCAAACAATAGCTGTTTCCCTCTAATATTTGCAGGCGTAGCTGTCTCAGTCGAGCAATCTCACGAGCCCTGGACAAAGCCAGACCTGCAGTGAATGACGATAACTCGCTAAAGGAAGGTGTAACCAGCAGAGGAACGACAGGTATGTACAGCTTGGTTGACAAAAGGAAGAGGAATCAGGGTTTGCTCATTAAAGGCAGCCTGATTCTCTCACCTACCGATGTGCCTCCTGTGAAGCAGCTGCTCGCCGATCCAGGCAGCTGGTCCTTGCTCTGCGGGCACACTCGCTTAGCGCTATCAGGTCATGCAGAACTGGGAGCCATGGATCCACAGGAGCCCCGCGACTGCACAGGGCCCTTAGCGGCTCAAGAAAACCTCTTCTTGTAGAGGCTAGTGCTTGTTTGTCCTTGTTAACAATCTCGCTTTCAGATGCTTGTTCAAGTAGTTCACTGAAGGATTTGGCAGGCTAACAGGCTACAGCAACTGTCAGCAACTTCAACCCAAACAGAGGCCTATGTGTATCTGCATTTAGCTATACTAGCACCAGGAAAAAACCATCTTATACTTTTACATTTTAATTGCCAGTGAGAATAACTGGACATCCAAAAACATCCGTAAGGCTGAGATTGAGAGTAATGTGTCTATAGCACACACAGTTTGAAGCAGCTTACTAGAGGCAGGGTAGGAGGAAGAAAGTTTAAAAGCAGACAGGAAACTATTCTGATTACAGTAAAACATGCGAAAATGCCACAACATTCACAGAAGAGAAAAAAGCGTAAGGAACTATTTTTGTGCATTTTTTCTTTTTTGTTGTTGTTATTGATTTCTTTCAATTCAAAGATTACTGAAATCAAAACATGTAGGAAAGAGGAAAGAATTATGCAAACATACATGACCCCCACACTATTGGAATTCCTGGACACTGAGCTGGGGACCGAAACACCTTGCAAAATCAGCCATGTGGGCAGAAAATTGCCCAAGAGACACCAACCTATCCTTCCAGGTCTCAGCAGAAGTAGCTACAGGTTACAAGGATACAAAATCTCTACTGTCCAAGTAATATGACCAGTGGAAGACTAAGAAAAAAATAGAGGCTAAAATTACTAATAAGATGGGGAAACCCAAACCCAGGTATGCTTAGTAGAACTAAGGTACTTTCAGGGCCAGGGGAGCAGATTAAGAGCCAGAAGGTGAATAATGTAGAAAGCAGACCTGGCTGTGCGTGACCACCAGTAAAATCTCTCTGGAGCACTACATCCTAGACAGCAAAACACCACCAGACACAATGGTCCCATTCATCAGCTTTTGTTTGTAAAGCAACCTAGCAGACATAGGAGGTCCTGATGTTGCTTGGGTATCAGATTCCCATTTGGAAGGTAGTAACAAGTTGTTACTACTCAGAGCCATAGCCCAAATAGAAAAATATTACTTCTATTCTCTTAGCAATAGGTATAGTTATTCACTATAAGTTATTATCAACATAGCTCTGATAATTTCTTTTAATTGTAAAGCTATGCCGCAGTTCTAAATATAGAATCGTGTCATATCCAAGCAGTATAAATCTCCATCTATTCTCTGAAGTAAATCTGTAATTAAGAATCCTTTCAGCAAAAATGGGACACATTTTACAGTGCGCAGAGAGGCATCCCCCAGCAACAGGGGGAGCTCCCTCACTAGCACAGGACAAGGGTTGATTAGACACATCCACAGTGCAGCACTCACCTCTGTATCTTCACAGATACACAACAGCTCAGCTATAGCAATGCTGGGCAGTGACTAAACCATAGCCAAAGTTTCCTACAGGAAATTGTTGATGGTTGCCTTTCTGGAAAACTGGACTCTAACCTAAAAGCCTAGAGAAGAACACATCTTTGTGGAAGTCTGCCCTCCACCACTTCTGCACTTTTGGCTACTACAGCACATGTACTGACTTTCCTACATGACTACCAACGTGAGTCTGGGTTTGAAACAGGATAACTCCAACTAAGACTCAAGTTTTCCCACATCTAATCTCCCAGGAATGACACACTATGACACCTAACTGCACTATTCTTGGGAGATGTGTTCCAGTCTACTCACTAATCAGAGGAGCATGAAAAATACTATCTACTGGATAACACCAATTCTGTTAGGCTTTACAGTTAGAGAAAGAGGGAAGGAAGACAGCTCACATCTCAGTTATATCACAGCATTCTGTGAAATAACACATCTAGCACATGAAGTAGGTGAGTTACTCTAAAGAGAACTAGAGACTGCAGAGTTTCTGGAGGGAGAGTCTCCTAGCTTTCAAGTGAAAGTTATAATCCATTTTGACTCTCATCAAGGTATTGCTCAGCTACCACCAAGATTGAGCTTGTTTACTCCAAAGCAAAAACATTGGCATGACTTATAGAAACAGCTTTTCTTGCCAGAGCTCTAATAGCAAATGTCTGTGGAAAAGCCACTTGGACCAGCACTATTTACTTTGGTAATGAAGCAAGTTCCCTGGAATGAAGTACTGCAATATTCCCAAGTGATGTTGCAATATATTTACCTGCACCTCAGCTGCACAGAAGTTGGTTTCAGACACAGGGTCCCAGGAGAAAGAAAGAAATTAAAATAAAAAAAAAAATCAAGCTTTAATGTGGATTTATAGACCTCATCACTTTGATGCTTACTTTTGGAAAACTAACTTCAGACTCAAGGTTGCTTTTGGAGATGCTTAGAAAGGACACCAGCATAGAGTTGAATTAATAGTTACCTGGGGATGTATAGAAATCAAAGGTAGGCTGTGCAAGCCAAGATTTCCTTTATGGCTAGGGAGTCATGAGCCTGAAGCAACTCTGCTTTTCCTCATTTATGTAAGATGAAGTTTGAAGCTGCCATTCAAATTCACTATGACTACATAAAGATGAAAGACTTCCCTGTTCAAGATTCCCAGCTTTCCATTCCAGTGTAAAGGGCTAGTCATTTGTTCCAATTTCAGCTTGAGAATTGGTTTCCCAAACAGCAACTCACTTGGCCCCTCTAGTCCAGTAATATGAAGATGATTCTTTAGTTTAATTAAACTGACTTGCTTCTCAAACAGATCTTGCACTTGCAAATTGCTGTTTACAAACAGTTCATATGCCTGTGTGTACACTAGTGAGCTTTCATACTTGACACCATATTATAGTTCTTCCCAGCCCTTTTCTGGACTCAGAAGAGTATTCAAGTTCTGCTTAGGGAAGAAACATACCTCTAGTTTGAGATGTTCAAAAGTATTGAGTACAAGAAAAGAAATCATGAAAAGGTTATATAAAAAGTTTAATTATAAAATAAATAAGTTTGTAATGGAAACATTAAATATTAAATACAGTAATAAATATTTACACATTTCCAGATATGACTTGACATTTAATGGTGTTGCTCTGCTAACAGCAGAATTCAGCTCTGTTTAAACAGAAGACACATTCTTCCAAGAAGAAACTGAAATCATAGTCAGTGCTCAAGAATGCACATACAGTTCAAGAAACTAAGGACACTTAGGCCAGATGGGTCTGAGGTAAGTTGAGTTCTTTGTACCAGAAGGTAGAGCACAGAGCACTGCTTGCAGAGAGTACATCAATTTAGTTCTTCAGAGAAATAGGTTCTCAGTCAAGTTCAGCTGAACTGGATTCAAAGCTTTCCTTAGCGCCACTCAAAGCGGCATAGTGTATCTGGGTAACACAAGTCGCTTTGTGTCCACACCTAATTCACAGATGCTTTAACTTGTTTGAGCATGGATTTTTTTCCTTCAGATACAAGGCTTCAGATTTTGCATTTACTGTCTCAGCCTCCTGAGGAGGCTAGTTTTAACTCAGATGAGGACACAGGCAAATGTATACTTCCACTCACAAGATAAGTCCTACTGTTTTCAGAGAGATTACCTTCCACATGTACAGTAACAAAACCCAGGTGTGGCTGGCAAAGATCTGCCACCAACACCCTTCAAGTCATAACTAGAGATGAAGTTCTTTGAAGCTGATACCAGCAGGGAGCTGAACAAAAGCAGAATTAGGTTTTCCCACCAAGGTCTAGTGGGAGAAGACATCCAGATCTCACTAACTTCAGGGAGAGGGAAGAGAAGGTTCTCCCCACCACCTTGCACATTCCTGAAAGCCACATTAAGTCTCCTGTGCAGTTAAAGGTGCCAAAGGAGACTTGCAACCAGAACAAAGTCCATCCATGTAACAGCAGAAACTCAAGTTCCAGCACTGATCAGAGAGGGCTCAGTAGCAGTAGTCTCTAACAGGTCTTGATAGCAAGTCCTCTACCCCATAGTGGCAGCTCCTTGCATATTTTTGCGCCAAGATGTAGCAGTAACTGTCTTCCCCAGCAAGTTATTGAGCAGCAAGTGGCATGTTGGACATCTACTTGCAGCAGCCTCTGTCTGGATGAATCAGGGCTTAGTGGCAACAGCTCCAGCCCACAGTGTCCAGGTGAGTGTGTCAGGTAGCCAGAGGTACCCTGCAGCTTGGCAGTGGCCACATCAGAATTGTTCTGTAAGGGGCAGACCAGGCATGTTAGTCATGACTGAAGACATGAGCAGTCAGCACCAGAACTAGGTCAAGCTGCATCCAAAGCACACAGGTACAGATGTGCACACACGGGGAAACTTCACTGCAAGCAAAATTCTTTAGCTTCAGACAAGTTGAGAAGGACACAGCAAGCATTACTGCATAAAGCCAAGCTTTGTAGCTGATATGAGGGAAAGCAAAGGAACTGCAAGCCAATATTTTTCCTCAGAACCCTTTCTAGCTCTTCTTTCAGTCTGTAGTAGATTCCTGATCACTGTAAGTCCTTCATTTCCTGTGTTAAGGATTTAGCTAGGAGGAAATATGCCAACTTGCTCCCACACTAACAGGCATATTTATCCCAACAGGAATCTGCAGATCAAGGAGCTTTTGCACTAAGCTGTGTGCCAAGTATGGAACTTGGGTGAGGGGCTATTTACAGCGCTCCCTGAGTTGGCATTTGTCACTGCCTACAGCCTCTGAGCTTTGCAGGGTTTCTGCAAGAAGAAAAAAAAGGCCAAGGAGCTCAGTACTTCTGATGTCCAGCCATCTACCTGGCTGCTGCACCATCTCCTCTGATGCCAAGTCCCCTGTGGTTTCTTGAGCTCTAACTCTGCCCAGATTAGTTTTTTCAAAAGGAATTCTACTGATCTCAGTACTTTTGCTTCTTACCTTCTCTTCAAGTAAGAAGAGCCAGAAAGTCATCAACACTATTAAACCTGAAAAGTCACAGAACCCTAACCTCAGGTGCTTTTGCAAACCCAGAAAGCTACCAAGTTTTTATATGTAATCTTGATGTTTCAAAGCACTAATGTCAGGCAGAAGGGAATAGTTTTGCAAAGCAGGCATGTATTTCTCATGCAAAACATCCATCTGGGAAGATGGAAAGAAGCAGCAGGTCAGCCTTCGTACCTGCTCTCTCCTCATTTACACACCAACATGACTACTTCTGTTTTCTTGTCGAAGTTTTTTCCTTTCTTCTTTTTCTTCATACTGAGGACACTTTTTCCTGACCCTGTGGAATTAAGGCACATTAGAAATTATTCTCAACTTAGACATACATTCTCTTGTTACCAGCCCACACATTCTCTACACAGTTAAAACACATGTTCATTGAATCCTCAAACAGCTCTTCAGCACAAGGAAGTTGCAAGCAAGACAGCTTCTCAAGCATTTGGCAGCAAGCAGTATTTGACAGTAACATCAAGGAATCCCTGGGCTGGGCACAGGTAGTTTAACCACACGGAGCTGGGGTTTCCTGGTTCGAACATGAAGTAGCAAGAGACTACATTGCTAAAGCCAAGCCAAGGACCAGGAGACTTTCTAGGGCACAGAGCAGTGCTGCTGAGCCAGATTTATTAGCTATAATAAACAGCTTCCAAGACCAGACAGGCTTCTTCCTTCCTCAAGCAGGTCCCTGCTTGTAATAGGAACCTTCAAGAGCATGTGTCCCTTCAAAAGCTGCTTTCTGATCTTCTCCCAGCTTCTTAACTTTTGTCAAGTAAGTGTTCCAGAAGGACCACCTAGCTTCCTTAGATGAACACAGATGAATGAGCATCATGATTTAAGCTTATGAGAATTCAGACCTTGAGTCCAATTTCATCTTGTTGGATAACTGTAGACCCTAGCAATAATGCTTTATTTTTCTCAGGGCACTACAGAACTGATTGTTTCTCATAGCAGTGAGCAATGGAAAGCATTGAAAAGCATTTTTTCACACAGCCAATGTTCTTCCCATCACCCTTCAAGTTCAGGTCTAATTATGAAGCAACAGTGAAGTGACAAACACACACCTTGTTTCCTCAGCAAAGGTACAGCATGTACCCAAATCAGTTCATTTACTTTGCTAAGATCTAAAATTAGACTGGACTTTTGAGTTTCATCTCCATCATCCTAAGCTCTAACATGGTAGAGTTGCAGGGTGAGAACCAGAGGTTCATTCCTATATTCAGACAGCACTGAAGTTACATTTCAGGAGCAGGCTCCAGTAGTGTCCACCCAAGCGCCAGTGAGCACACTGACAAGGAACAGAGGCACAGGCAGGCAAGTCTGTAAATTGCTTGTTAGCAGGTTAACAGGGAAGAATTTTATGCAAGGCTTGACAAAACTGCTCTTCTAGATGATTTGGAGCAGGAGCCCAAATGCTGGCTACCTGCCATGCTGCACTATCAGAAGTTTTATTCTCAAATTCTTGCTTCCTCCATCTTATTATCAAGCAGAACTTATTTTGTACTGCCATCACTTTCTCCCTACTTGGTCTCCCCCCATAGAACTATCTAAGCTCAGAAAGCATAAGCAGAAAGCTGGAGCTTGGTTTCATGCCCCTCAGCTGCATACCCAGGTGCTAGAGAACAGCAGTGCAAGAGCCCACTCCTCATAGGCTGCTTCTCTGTAAGCATTAGGGAAAGCACTCTGCCTCAGCAGTTACATTCCTCTTGCAGCCCTGGAGCACTGCAGTTATCTTTACTGCAGCAAGAGCAGAAAGGCTTGGGTTTTTACAGGATATGGGCCACAGGCTGCCCACACTCAGTCATGAAAAAGGGTAAGTGAATATTCATTTCTGAACACCTTATGTCTCACTTCTACCCTCAAGACTTATCCAAGCTAGAAAAGGAACTGTACCCTTCCAGACATCTCCTGCATAGGTAACTCAGATAAGCTACATGCATTTTAGCATTACTGGACACAAGCCCTCCTCAAGCTATGCAAACACCAAAAAGCAATACTTACTGAACTATCACAATGATGAGTACAGTAATGAAGCTGATGCCTGAGAGCAGAACAGCTACCACCACCAACACAGTCTTTGAGTAGTCTGCCACATCATTCTTCCTTTGAGTCTTCATGAACTGTTCACCACAGCGCTCACCAAAGTAGTCCTGATGACACCTGAAAGCAAGCATCAACACAAGTTCTTATCAGCTCTGGTGCTCCCTGGAGCCAAGGACACCCACACAAGCTTGACTTAGACATCTTGAGTTTCACATGAATCTCTAGATGCTAGCTCTACAGCCTGTTCATGAAATGCAGTCACTGCTCCAGCACAAGGTTTGTCAGCATTTCAACAAGTCAAGATTAGTTTGGGCGTGATGTTCCAGGAAGACACACCTTTTCATTCTTTTGGTTTGAGTTTATGACCAACTGATGAGTTCAGCGGCTTGTTATGCATCTCAGATTCCATCATCACTTAATTTACATGGCAGAAAGATTCTCAGTCAAAATACTGCAGGTGACGGATCTATGCCAAGTTGACATTGATTTTTCCTCCAAGCCCTCATAGGATACCAGCTCATGCAAACCACATGTAACTCGCAAGGTACTTTCAACTTACTTGCAGGTCACCATTTGGAGATGTTCTAGGTATATGCATTCACCATGGATGCAAAAGTTTTTGTATTCCATTTCACATGGAGTCCCTTTCTTTTTGTTTTTCCCTTTGTTTTTCTTCCTTCTTGATTTGCCAGCATTCTTCTCACCCCCCCTCTTTGTTGGCTTGGGCTTAACCACAGGTTCAACTGAAAAAAGGACAGGACAATTCAGTCTAACCAAGTTGAACAGCTAGTTTCTGCTAATATGGAATAATTGGATTTAGGGGTTGCTATAAGAAAAAAAATAGGAAACACAGGATGCAAATGAGTGCACTGGTAGGCATTTTGCATGCTGCATAAGAACAATAAGTTTATAGGCTCACTATTAAGCTAAATTCTGTCACCATCAAGTCCTGAGCAATTCAGATAGCAGCACACAAAGACAGGCTGAGAGGGCCATGAGAAAAAGACCAGACATCAAGGACTGCAGCATTCCACATGGATCAAATGGCTGAGCGAAGTTGCACAGACTCAAGCAAAGACCCAGAAAGCACATTATGAATTCACCGTGAGCAAAGCCATCCAGCAGTTTTATATGGACGCAAATAAAAGGCAAAGCCTCCAATGTTCTCAACTATTTGCATCACTGATGAAAGGCATTTTAAGTTGGTAGATGGTCCTGGGCACTTGTAGAGGCAAGACAGCCTGCAATCTGAGTTAGCATACTTGTTCCTCCCAAATAGCCTGCAGTGCATCTTCAAGAGACAAGAAGATCATTGGTTTCTAGTTCTCCTAGAGAGAGATACCAAGTGTAGAAAGGACCTAAGCTGCATATTCCACAAGAGAGACTGCTCTGCCATTTGCTGTTGCCCCTCATTATCTCAATTAGAGCAAGCCTCTAGAAGAGCATAGTTTCAAAGACTGGTGACTTAGTGGCTGTGAATTTAAAGGAAAGGCATTTTTCCTTTTGCTTCAAGGACAAGCTAAAGCCAGCCTATAACTACGGGTCTTCAGCACCATGGCCACCTATCGGCACTCAAAGCTAAACATGATTACAGAGCAAGCTGGTTCTCTGCAAAAACCCTCCGTTTACTGCTAGCCACAAAGAAAGTACTCAGTGCAAGGTCTTTTTCTTGAGAAATAGGACAGGAGTAACAGCTAACCAATGGAATTTCAGCAAGTCTCAGTTACAGTAGTGCTGTTAGCACTATTCTTCCAAACTGGTTCTTTTTCTATTACACTATGCAGACAAAAATCAAAGCAACTCCTGGATTATTGTTTTCCCCAAAGCACTATGCATATAGGCGATCACCACAATAGAATGCAACTGATCTGACTACCTCGTAACCCTGTATTTCTAGTGGCAAGAGATCCTGTACAATAAACAAGGTGTAGCTGGCTGTCGTCTAGACAGCCGATCATTTTAAGTTCTAGAGCAACAAGCCTAGCTTGAAGTTACTTAAAAGCAAAAATGCCTTCAGCAACTAGAGGTCTGATTAGAATGGTATAAGTTATATTAATATGCAAATGAGGAACACTGTTCCTGCAGCCAAATTTCCTATCCTACACACAGGAACTTGCTGCTGACTATCAAGACCCTTGCTTTATCCATTTAGACTTGACATTTAGTTGACATTCATCCCTCTTTAACAGTCAGCCTATAAGTTTGATCTCAGTACCCCTGTCTGCAAGCTGCAAGGAAAACCCATCCTCAGCTGAATCATAACAGCTTGAGGGCTTCACAGATAAACCTCAGGCCAAGTAGAAGAGCTGGTCTACAAACCAACCACCTTGGGCAACAATCCTGCTTTCTAAGCAGTTATACAACACTTAAGTTACCAAGCCAGTTGTTTTACTGACCAAGCTGCTCCAGAACCAACATTCCTGTCTTCCCTGACCTCTTTGAAAACTTCAGCACAAGCGCCCCAGACTGCCCATCTGAAGCATGCTCCCTCTAACATCCAAGAGCTCTTTCACCTCAATTGAAGTTTGGAGTATTTCTAAGGAAAAAAACAGCAGTCACACCCCATCCTGGATGACCATAGTGTCAGGCTGTGTATGTCTGCTCATGTGCAAAACACTTATAAGCACTACTTCAGCCTTGTCCCATACAGTTTCTCATATAAGTGTGCTTGGGCCAGAGGTGACAAAGTCCATGCATCCAATATTACCTGGGCCATTCACACCTCCTGACATTTTACAAGTAGCCAGTTCAAAAGAAGTTCTCATAAGAGCTATGACAGTGTAATTTTGCCTAAGCAATGACACGATAAACACTTCTGTAAACACTTGGGGGGGGGGGTCTGCCTGCCCTTAAAAAGCTTTAGTTAACTTCACCCTCCACTAGCCAGAATCAAGAAAACACCCAGAAAAGCCCTGATGCAGGAGAAGCAACTTGCTCAAAAGCCCACCTTTAATGCCAAGCAGTACCCATAAATCCTGCCAGCACCTTCATACTAGGCAGGTGGCAGTACCCACCACATCTCTCCTGCCAGCTGAGCTGCAGGGTTCAGCTAAGCTGCAGGGCTCAGCTAAGCTGCAGCTTCCAAACACCCAAGCTTCACTTGCATTGAGTTTTGATCCCCATCAGCACAGATTTAACGCAACAACTTCAAAACGAGGATCTTATGCTCTGCTGTACGCAACAGGCCAGGAGGAGCAGCCTGACAGCAGACCTAGAGCAGGAGGAAGCCGGTGGCTCCAAGGCAGAGGACGGCATGCACACCTGGGACCCTGCCACGCAGGGTGGCTCACCTCGGATCAAGTCGTCCACGATGTACTGGTGCACGGGCGCCGCCTCTTCGTACTCCTCCTCGTCCTCCTCG